CTACACACTTTTAGTCAAAATGAGTCCAAAGCCTACACATCACAAGTAAAAATGAGTCCAAAACCTTCATATCTCAAGTCAAAATCAGTCAAAATCAGTCAAAATCCTACACACTTTTAGTCAAAATGAATCCAAAACCTACACACCTTAAGTCAAAATCAGTCCAAATCCTACACATTTTTAGTCAAAATCAGTCCAAAGTCTACACACCTCAAGTCAAAATGAGTCCAAAACCTACATATCTCAAGTCAAAATCAGTCAAGATCCCACACACTTTTAGTCAAAATGAGTCCAAAACCTAAACACCTTAAGTCAAAATGAGTCCAAAGCCTACACATCGCAAGCCAAACTGAGTCCAAAGTCTACACATTCGAAGCCAAAATGAGTCCAAAACCTACACACCTCAGGTCAAAATGAGTCCAAAGTCTATATACACACCTCAAGTCAAAATGAGTCATGAGTCCAAAGTCTACACACCTTAAGTCAAAATGAGTCCAAAGTCTACACACCTCAAGTCAAAATGAGTCCAAAGCCTTCACACCTTTAGTCGAAGTAAGTCCAAAGCATACACATCTCAAGCCAAAAAGAGCCCAAAGCGTTCACACCTGAAGTCCAAATGAGTCATGAATCCAAAGTATACACACCTCAAATCAAAATGAGTCCGAAGCCTACACAACTTAAGTCCAAATGGGTCCAAATCCTTCAAAATGAGTTTAGACACTACTTACAAAAGTCAAAATGAGTCCAGTGTGTATGACCACGGAATTAGATTAGAATATGTCCGTGGTATGGCCATTCTCATTCATACAGTATCGATCACTTTTCGTTACTGCTTCTATTATACTAGTATTCGTGTCTTATTTATCAGGTTTTTATGTTTGTGTTTCTTCACTTACGTTTTTTCATACGTTGGCAAGACATCTTGAACGAAATAAAATATCTGATAATCTGATATAAGTGTATAACTCACAAAGTCTATAAACTGTATTACATGGTGTTTTTTTCAAATTGAGCTTATATATTTTGTTTAGTTAATAATTAGTCAAGATGATTTACCATACGGGCATTTTGTAAGTCATGTCTTGTGTACGTTTTTTTTAGAAAACCGTGTCATTTTATTACCAGCTCGTTTTAAAACGCAGGAGAGAAAGTATTGCTCTTATCCCTATTTCAGGTTTTCTTTTTCTTTTTTAATATTCATTGCATATAACTAGATATATAAATTGAATAATTCCTTTCGTTATCACATGTCAAGAAAAGGAATGTTTGAAGGTAAAATTCAGCCGATTCGTAGTACAAAAACAGTGTTAACGGATAAGAAAAATTAGTCGGGAATATAAGCAACCACTTGTTCATGGACTAGTGCCCCATTTATTAATTGGCTCTCCATCCAATTATCACTGAATATAATCCCAGGTCCAAGCTTTAGCGCAACAATGAATTTACTCATTTTGATGATCGCACATCCTTCATTTATAAACATTTTACAACAAATGCAACATGCTTATTCTGTTTGCCGAGTCATCCAAGGAAAACAGGAACTAAAAACAAAAAAAAAAACAAAAACAAAAAAGATAAAATATTTTTACTATACGAAAAATGAAAAATTGTGAAAGGCGTTTATAATAATAATAGGTAAGAATAAACATTAATAACGTCAAGATCTCCTATTGTACGATCCATCAAAAAGCTAAGCTGTGAATAAGCGTCCCATCCTAATGTTCACTCAAGCTAGAGCCCCAATCTATGGTCGTATTTGTAAGTATTCAATGAGCACCACTTCCTATGTTACATAGATTATAATTATGGAGCATCAATAAACATCTTATCATGTCACGTCCTTGTTTAGGAATGTAGAGTCTACAGAAAACCGGTTAAATAATAGCAAACGACATTGTTCTCTAACAATCGGGTTAATACTATGTTTATAGAGGATATTATATATCATGTTTACAGTATGTCGGTAGTCTAATATGATGATTACATGCAGGCTGATGGACACAAATAAACAATAATATTGTTCTAAGTAAACTATACCAGATGAAACGAAAATAAAGTTCAGATGCCATTTTGGTATTGTCATTTTCTCCTTATTCCTATTTATGATTGAACATAGGGTAACTATTGATTATATTGTCAACATATATAGATAATTAACCAGAACGGAATGTCAATGGTATTAAGATCAAACCACCCTAACCACCAGCCTTTGGATGTTCTCATTCCTGCTAATAATGACCGACAATGTGAATGTTTCTCACAGATGTTTCCATCAACGGATACAATGCAGTCAATGAAACCCTCTCCTAGGGACTCCCCGGACTTTCAGGAACAGCTTACCAGTCGACGAGAAAACATCTTCGTTATGATAGAACTGTTGCATCCTAAGGACTCCTTCGTAAGTATTGTCGACTACCCTCTGTCTAGGAAACCCTTTTATCTGGGAAACCAACAGGTCCAGGAAACCCACAGGTCGAACTTCAAATTCGGTTACATTTTGTCAAGCCCACAGGTCCACACACAGAAAGGGCCTTGTTTATCTTGTTTTAATAAAGAACCAAACAGTAATTTTCTTTTGGTGAATAAACGTTAGTCTTTGATATAAGTAGTTCTTGCAGGCCGCGATACTAGTTTATGTTGTGCATTCCTGTATATCCAGTACATGTAGTAGTTGTAACATTTTCTTAAACTATTGGCGATGTTACACTGATGTTTCTTCTCAACTGTGATCATAACATGTCGGGCATGTAACACTATCTTAAACATGATAATGATCACATACGTTTGGCAATATACGAAAACCCCTCTTCTCAATTTGAAGGATAGTTAGATAGCATTTTAGAATAATTAATTTGTTCTTTCTTACCTTGAATTCAAATTTCTCATGAGTAGGTTGTTTGAAGTACAAAAACAAAATTAAAGTGCTCGAGAAAATTAAACTTTATAGTATGTATAACGAATTCATCAGTACAGGGTGTGTCTTTGGATTGAGCACACTATCACCTATGCTTATGTACCGTTGACAATGCTATGATGACATTGCAGGGTATCAACACGCTGACAGGATGGGGGAGTGATGACATTGACGACATGCTGAACGAATCGCCTCCTACTGCTCTGGTAGGTTCCAGGAATCGCACGTGCTTTACTCGATTAACCCCTAAGCCCTTCTTATAATTCGGATTTGACCAAGGTCACTGCTACTTAAGGGTAACCTGTTATATATTCCAATACATATCTACCGTAGTACAGAACAGTCACTAACAATTTTGTAAGTAGTACAACGGTCCTATGTTAAAAAAATGAACTATCTTCAACTTTGTCACATACCAGATGTGTTATACATTTTGTTCTTTGTTGTAAGTAAGATGTGCAATACGAAATAGGGCGGTTTTCAATAATTGATTATCTGTTTTTCGTTCGTCATGCTACGCATAAGTCACATCTCAAAGATTTGGTGTATGTGTCTTGCTAACTTAAACTGGCGCGTGTATTTTTCAACAGATCATCGGTACACCCTAGTGAAATAGGAAATAATTGAAACAAACATATTCTCACGTTCAGATAAGATTTTCGATGGATTATTTTGAGTACTCGTATTATTTTTTAACCTTGAACTTATAGTTATCACAGTCTCCTTTTTGTAGTCTTCATATTTTAACACTTTCCTGCAGTATTACAACTCTATAACAAACGTGACAACTCTTATCTCTCAGTTACTTTCCTTTCCTCAGTAGTAACATTCCTGCCTTCCTTATATATATTATAGGTTTGAAAGTACAAACGCCGTTCTAAATATTAAACTGTCATGCTGACCAATCACAACTCGGCTAGGCTTGTCTATGACAGCCTTCAGTTTACATTGAACAAGTTAACGTTTGTAATCATGTCAGACCTATTTCAGTGTCTACCTTGATTAAGAGTTATTCAATATGTCTTAGATTATTGAAAATCAACATATTTCCATGATTTAACAAGAAATATTATGCCGGGAGTTAACTGTGGTACTGGAAACGCTTATTCCTATTGATCAACTTGTTCTGAATCAGATTACCTGTCAGAGTTTACAGTGTCATAAATGATTATGACTTCCGTTCTGTTTTGACGTCTCTCTGGTATTCTTGTGTGATGAAGCTTTGGCATATTTTCTTTGGTTTAACTTTAACGGTGACGTTATAGCAAGAGAACTTAACACCAAATAAGGTCAATGGTCCACAAAAAAATGATATTTTGTGTCATCAGTCCTGTACGCATGAAAAAAGTAATCCAAGATGCCATATGCACATGCATAATTAAAACACGATTTTGTTCATATCGATGCCTTATGTACTATACACTATTGAAATTGTTGCTCACATCAGTTTATAACTTCCAGGTGAGCAATGGCGCGGAAGTGGTGATGTTATCGAAAAAAGTATTCCTGAAATACGTTAACGACGACGTTCGGTGTATGCTGAGGGAAAACGTCCGAGCATACCCGAAAGAGACTGTGATGCAGGACAATTTGCAGCGGAAGTTGGACTGGGACGAGTATAAATCCTCTATCATTAGTGACTGGGTCTCCACTCGGACAATACTACGCGAGATACACTCCTCCGTGTGACTTCATTATACTTTAAACTGGGTAACTAGTGGACGGAAGGGTGTGAAGACTCGACAGGAAATATCTCCACTGTGTATCACTCATAATTCAGTTTAAAGATAGAGGTCCTCAAATAAGTTATAGTTAGTTGTCATATTCCTCTTAACTCGAATTAGTTAATTTTCTAATTGCATAAATACTTCAGCTTTACCGAGCGACTTTTACCATTTCACAATTATCTAATGAGAGTAAGTTACACATGATAGCTGACAATCATGAGTTTGAGGATTTATTTTATTTTCATAGCGTTCAAAATTCCCGTTTCTGGACGGGAAAATAATTGCCATAAATCATTACGTCATAGTAGAAAAACAGACAATTTCTTTCAATGAGCAATACATGTACCATAAAGGAATCATGGATACAGATGCAAAAAGGGTTAAGACTATAATGGAAGGAACACTCCTAGGAGTGTTGAAATGGGACTGTTTTCATCTTTGGTACAATCACCTTCAGTTGTTGAAATAGCATTTTACTATTCGCCAAATCATGATTAATTCTAAATTAAAGACATTAGCACTGAGATATGTCCATGTGTCCGTTGCTTCAAACCCGATCTGCGCAATATCCATAGGAACCACAAGCTGGGTTAAATATTGCTCGGGTCAGGTCCGAATGTCATAGATTAAATCAAAAACTAAAGTCAACAATTATTTTATTGTATGTAATTTAACAGTTCAATCACTCATCCCCTCAGGTCACACTTGATCCAGTGCCGTTTTGCATCATTCTGCTACAAAGTAGACAAAGTTAAAACGTTCATTAACAAAATCATATTCATGTACGTGTATTCCATATTATTCAGGTTTAAGTGATCAAATTGATTATATTTTACCGTATTGTTGATACTTGTGTTTCCAGATCTGATAAAAATGTCCTCAGACCTTGTAGTCGGTTAGTTCACAGTGATCTATGACTTATAGAACCACGTATCTTGTAGTGGCAGTCCTCATCAAAACGCTGTCACTATACATCATATAGTAACCGACTCATTAGCATCACACGACAGTCGATTAACTGTCACTATACCTCATATAGTAACCGACTCATTAGCATCACACGACAGTCGATTATCTGTCACTATACATCATATAGTAACCGACTCATTAGCATCACGCGACAGTCGATTAACTGTCACTATACATCATATAGTAACCGACTCACTAGCATCACATGACAGTTGATAAACTGTCACTATACATCATATAGTAACCGACTCAATAGCATCACATGACAGTCGATTTAAACTTATATTTATATGTGATATAAACTTAGTGTAATGATGACCACTGAAAGTTGTCTTGACTTTGTACTGACAAACATAAGATAGCAATTGTGATGACCATGCCAGTAAAACCATACATAACAGACGATGTCCGATGTTTTTAAACGATGTACAGTTTCAAACAACATAACAAAGATAGTGAAATAAAGAAAACTTTTTGCATCTGCTCAATACGTAGTTTTATCAACTAGAAAAGGGTGTATGCTACATTCGGGCGGTGTCCTGAATTAAGAACAGCAACATCAGGAAACACGTATCCTTCCTGTTTATCGTGCTTAAGTTCACGATTACATCAATTCCTCAATTTCTGTTATTTATGTAGTATATTTGATTCTAATTAACTTAAATTTTATTCTAAATTATTAAGTATCAGTTTTCCTATGGTTTACAAAACTACGTATTGACCTCAACTAAAGGATATATTTGTATATATTACCATATTATACCACATCGGCGCGATAGATATGTAATGATAGTGCTGTCTTTAAGTAAATAAGATGATTATTTTGTAAGATAGTCGATCAGTTTGTTTACTGAAAATGACCTGAATAAATTATCAGTGTGACTTAATGTGTGTTGAAATTGTTTGTTAGTTTGAGATGCGATTCTAATGAAGCACTTAAAGAAAATTAGTATGTCGATACAAAAAAAACCAAAAAACAAGTAAACAATTAGGACTCATCAGTTGTTCTTTAATTTGGTCAAAAGAATGGAAATATATGTCTGAATTGTTCTGAAACATGCAGTAAACGTTTAGGCTACAACAAATAAATAACTGTTAGTTTTTCTTTTAAACCGTGCCAAAGAGTATCTGTCGTTTTAGAAGTCAGTTTGTGTTTGTGCGTACGTCAAAATTAATACCATTGTGTACCAATACACATCCAGTGTCTTTCACTACTCCTGTTCGGAACCAAACCATGTTTCAAATAAAACATGACAACAAGAGAATAGTGTCAGCAAAACGGTAATTCGAACTTCTGACAACAGATAGAAAAAAACTTTTCATGGAGTCCTTTGAAAAGGTATAAACATAACCGACCAAGTAACCTATCCGCCATGCAAATCAAATCCAAATAATGTCATGTGCTTAGGACGAGAACCGGTAAAGTGACATCGAAACAACTGTAGCAGAAAATAGAATAGTGTGCTTCCACCGGGGATCGAACCCTCCATTTCCAGGTTCCTAGTCGTACGCTCTACCACGGAGCTAAAGGGACATTCCCTCTAGCTCGAAGCAAGAAGGCGACGTAATCCTATGTATAGTTAAAACCTGCCACACAACAAAGAATTCTAACCAGCAGAATGAGAAAACATCCATCAACCTTAGTACGTGGGTCATTCAATAAAATTCTGTCACTAGTGTCAGCAATCGCAATTGTAGTTTGACCTTTCTATTACAATCCTTCGAAGTACCCCTCTAAGCAGAAACGCACGTTTGCAATCGCGCTATCCATGACGTAAACGCTGCGTGGTAGACTTTCCTTGGTATATTGGCTAGACACCGGAAGATTGCACTACCCAGAGCACTCCTAGAGGCAGCCCGTTTCCAAGAGAACATTTTCTTTAGTAAAGGAAACAGGAAGAAGTCACAGGGACTTATATCTTGTGAATAGGCTGGGGATTCAAAAACGCCTGTACAATATTACTTTTGTTGGATGAGGCATGGTCGTGAATTAGCTGGATGTCATTCAACCCTTTACTTTGACGCTTTTTATGTAGAAACTTTTGACATGCTTCAGTAGTTTGTCTGTTAAAAAAATGGCATTGATTTCCCTTCATTGCACGGTATCTGAACCACAATCTCACTAGAATTGGAAAAACAGCATACAAATCTTTCTTGACGCTTTTTATAAGTCTTGCAATCATGCACTAGCCTTGCTAGCTTTCTAGACACCAGTTGCTTATTATTAATCTGCTTATGGGGTTCAACGAAGTACACCCAGGTCTCGTCCACTGTAAGTAACTAAGATAGCTTTCTTGAGTCGTACTTACCGTACTTTTTTAATATATCCTTTGCACATTTCATACACTTGGCCTTTTGTTCAGATGTCAGCAAATTGGGGATCCATCGGCCACAACGCTTCTTTAATTTCGGGCACTTGGTTAGAATTTGATGTGTACTGCCCTCTGAAATGCCAGCCTTAATAACTACTTTCACAGAAGTGATGTTCTTCTTTGATGCCGCAACAACTGGCCTACCTGGCCGTGTGTCCTCTTTGGTGTCAACTTAATTTACAATGCGACGGCACGGGTACCTTTTATGCTGCACAACTGTATAAGCTCATTGTGCTTTAACATAGGAGCGTATATCAGATTTAGTCTCAACACTCATTTAAGCATTGAAAAGTTGTCACTAGTCACGAGTGCATACGATTCAACTATGAATAACTTGGTCAAATCTTTCCGGATGATGTCGAAATTTTGTCTAAACTATTCTAAAGCCCGTTCGTATGGGAAGTGTGTGGTGACATACTTTATTGAATGGCCCTCGTATAAATGTATATATATATATAAATATATCAAACAAGGAAATATCCCAATGAGAACATGATGGTGACCATTTAACCTGCCCATAGTCTTCATTCACATTCATCTATCGAAATCCTATGTGACTGCCCGTCATTACCATGATAATTTGAGATGCATGGACGAGAAGGAAAGTTCACCATCGGAAAATCGAAATCATCGCGATAATCGTACAGAAGTCCGTCCCTGTTTGTCATTGTGTAGGTAATGATCGAAAGAAGGGGCTGATGAGAGAAAGAGTATGTAGTGCCCTTAATTTCAAGTGCATGAGAGTATATACGATCGGTGTGGTCAGTAAATGTCTTGTTTCTCAAAGACAGCACATCGTCAAAATATCTGAAAATGAAATTGAAGGACATGGCAAGCTTTTCTTACCACTCCTGATAAGCTGTTCAATAAATCCAGACTCATGTTAAAACAAAGAAGAATATCTTGCCACCGAACTCACCAAAGATAGTGTCGACCAGGAACCCATCATCATCAGTATATATTTGATCCTTGTGTTTGTCGTGTTTCAAATACATGCTCAAAAATTAACAATCATATATTGCCGTTCGCCGGAAACTAAAAGGAGAACGATGGCGCTCCTTCAGTTCAATAAGAGGTGTCGTAGTGGAAATAGTGTACGTAGTGTACGTAAAGAGAGGGGAAATTCGAACTTTCTGATAGAAGGAACATTTTCAGGAAAGATGCTCAAGACCAATACAATGTCTTATTAGATCTTCAAACTTTACATTATATCAGTTTCACAACTGGAGTGTACAGCGTCTCTAAATGACTGTAATCCTGATATAATGACATTAGGAACAGTGGAAAGAATTTTTGCTGATGATTTGTTTCAACAACAAACACAGCCTACGACATCATTGACCGGTATTTGGAAAAAAATGTTATACAGATCGTGATAAGATATGCTTTGTAATTGCATATATATTTTCCTTGATTATATAACAAATCTAATTATATTTGTGTGCAGAACGTGATCCAAGTTATTAGATGTTTTGTCTGAAAGCGTGTAATTTGACCATCGCGGTCAAGAAATACTGACTTGTGTTAACTTTTATTTTTCGTTTTGGATTTCAAACTTATCGTTTTTGAATGACGAGACTTCATAGATTTTCCCCCGCTATAAGAGTGCATGCAATTCAAAAAGCATTCGCTTTGTCTGTCGAAAAAGTCTGAAAATTCGACAACAATCCCGGTTTTCAATCTGTATGAAGTTACACGACTTCCAGAACATGACAACATTGCTTATTCCATGCGAGGTCCATTTTCATTTGAATTGTCGTGAATCGATGATCCCCTATCGTGATGTCACTCTGATCATCGAGGATGACGCAAGGTTTTGGGCGTTTTCCAGCCGGTGTTCGTGATGGACTTGTGCCGACACGATCCTCCTCTACCCTACTAGATTTACAGGTGTTACTACTTTGATCACATATATGAGTATATGTGCCGACAATTCTCTCCTTGGTAGTTTAAATGTCTCCACCTGCTTGTGATTGTCCATGTCCCCACCGGAGCAGTAGTATTGGTGTTAACATATAGGGCTGGAAGATAGCACTAGCTGCTGCAGAGGTCACACTGAACAGACTTTCACCACAATTTTTCTGAGGTCCACAACATGGAAATCATATTCCATTTGAGAGCAAGACGTTTTTTCTTTCCATTATTGGTTTGGAGTGGAATGCAGTGCAGTGGACATGAGCCCTTTTGCGAATATTTTCAGCCACAAAGGTTGTTCTTCAGACCGAGCAGAGTACTATTTCTTCTCAGCATCTGGGCAAACCTCGGGTCATTTCTAAACTTTACGAGCTCTCTGCGAAACTTGATGAAACAGAAGAATGTTGCATATTTTGCCTTGTACATTACAGCCTCTGAAGTCCATTTCTCGTGACGATCCCTTCGAAGCTTGCTTGCAATTATATTCACGAATCATCAAAAGCTAGTAAAATCTGGTACTTGAGGTCCTTTAAGGAGCAAATCACTAAAGCAATGTCAGATACATAATTAAAACAAACGGGAATGGTCTTTGTAAATTATCTCAGAAAAAACTGCTAGCTTCTTCTTCATGGGTGTTCCTACCGTTTCCGGGATAACACATTTGCCCTCCAGCCTTTCACACACAAGCTATATTTTATGTTCAGGGTTGCCAGCCATGGACGACCGTATACTGACGATAAAGGTCGATTTCCTGGTGTGGAAATACGCTATACTCGCTAGTTGGCTCTTGGAAGCTAGTCTTCCAAGTCCTAAAATGTTCTTGTATGTCATTAAACTTGCTAAATAAAGGAAGAGCACAACCCATATACAAGGTATATTACAAGGTGCTTTAACAATGTTGGTCTGTGATGATACGGAGCCGCTTCCCAATTGTGAGTGGGTGTCATGACCATCCACTCACTCCCCATATTGACAATATCTACGCACAGTAGTCTGATGACCGGTTTCGAATTCGGGCAATGCTTACTGAGCAGTATGAAGGTAAGTGAGGTGAGGGTATGTGACCTTTGGCATAAAATTACTAGGAACATAGCCAGAGGCATCAGGTTGATTAGGAATGGGTAAATATTATATTGTGTTTTAATGGGACTACTGAGCATACACATCAACGCAGCTGGCCTTAAATAAGAAAACATTCAACAAGAACTTTTTGAAATATATTTATTACAAGATGATTCACATACACCAACGTTTAACAGAAAAGGTAAACAAGTTTTTAAGAACTTGATACAAAACCATGTCCTTTCTGGAACTAAATAATCCAACTGTGCTGGGACAACACAATAAACTATCCCCTCACAAATCTATTTGGTTGTTATACTGTAAACGTAAATATTTTATCGGTAAACTGATTTTTGGCGTCTTAAATATTGTGCTAAATTATGATTGGGCCAATTAAAGTTTCTGTATATTATTTCGATTGCAAATTTTGTGGGTGAGCCAATTCATCAATGTGTTAATCTGTTAAAATTTAAAAATGCTCTAAAATCTGAGGGCACTAAAATATTCATGTTTATAGTTATTGGCAAGTCAATATGTTTTTAAGATTTCATTTCCTTAAAACACTGTACACTTTGGGTATATGTATATAATATATAGAGAGAGTGCGAAGGCAATGTCTAGGACCACAGATCACCTGGCTCGACATATTTCCAAACATCATTAATATGGCTTTATTCAAACTTGTCAAAAAGTACCGGTAAATCAAACATAACAACGTTAACACAGCATAATGATAAAACTGTACTGTAACTGTTAAAACTCAACACATAAAATGGATTACCATCTGTATCAAATCTGCTAGAACTTTTTGCAATAAGGTAAAAGTAACAAAACACAAAATCTAAAACATAAATATCTAAAACATCAACGAGTAAACATGAAAAATATCATAATGTGGTTGGGTTTGGTGGCTTGATAATTAACAGATTGTGAAAGTTTTTCTTTGGACTAGAGTAATTTTCTGACACAAGTACATTTTGTTTGTACAAATAGTTCAGTGACAACTAAATATATACATATCATCAACTCCTGCATACAGTCATTGTTATACCCATACATAAACATATTTACAATGATACATGTATCGTCATGGTGATACACAAAGCAATTAACATTGATTAAAAACATTGCACAATAAAGAGACCTTTCGCCTCAGGAATGAATTTCTTTTGCACCATACATGTTACTTTTCATGACACACTGGCAGACAACTGAAGTCAATATGAGGGGGACATTATTGTAACTACAATATCAAGGGATAAATGGATGTTGTTACTAACTACAGGACACGTATATCCTTACTAACGATCCTCATTGCCTAAATTCAAATACCTTATGTAGAATAACCTTCACCCACTGTTACTTCAGCCCTCATTATATAGATTAAGCTTCCAAAAGTAACATAACCATTTCCTTGATTCAGACTCCTACATTAACATAACCTACAACCCCCCCTGTAACCTTGATCCAATTACCTTGATTCAGACTTCTAACGTAACGTAACAGTCCTCTTCCCTGTAACCTTGACCCAATTACCTTGATTCAGACTTCTTATGTAACATAACATTCATGCCCCTGTAACCTTGCCCCTCATGACGTTGATTCAGACTTCTAATGTAACATAAAAGTCCTCCCCCTGTAACCTTGCCCCTCATGACCTTGATTCAGACTTCTACATGTAATGTAACATAAAAGTCCTCCCCCATGTAACCTTGCCCCTCATGACCTTTATTCAGACTTCTTACGTAACATAACCTTCATGCCCCTGTAACCTTGCCCCTCATGACCTTGATTCAGACTTCTAACGTAACATAACAGTCCTCCTCCCTGTAACCTTGCCCCTCATGACCTTGATTCAGACTTCTAATGTAACATGACATTCATGCCCCTGTATCCTTGCCCCTCATGACCTTGATTCAGACTTATAATGTAACATAAAAGTCCTCCCCCCTGTAACCTTGCCCCTCATGACCTTGATTCAGACTTCTAACGTAACATAAGTCCTCCCCCTATAACCTTGCCCCTCATGACCTTGATTCAGACTTCTGATGTAACATAACCTTCATGCCCCTGTAACCTTGCCCCTCATGACCTTGATTCAGACTTGTAACGTAACGTAACAGTCCTCCTCCCTGTAACCTTGCCTTTCATGACCTTGATTCAGACTTCTAACGTAACAGTCCTCCTCCCTGTACCCTTGTCCTCATGACCTTGATTCAGACTTCTAAAGTAACAGTCCTCCTCCCTGTAACCTTGTCCTCATGACCTTGATTCAGACTTGTAACGTAACGTAACAGTCCTCCTCCCTGTAACCTTGCCCCTTATGACCTTGATTCAGACTTCTAACGTAACAGTCCTCCTCCCTGTAACCTTGTCCTCATGACCTTGATTCAGACTTCTAAAGTAACAGTCCTCCTCCCTGTAACCTTGACTCCCATTACCTTCAACTAAACTTCTAAACCTTTGTGATCTTGACCAACAGCAGTAACACGTTTTTGTTAAACATTGTTACACTAACCCTCCATGAGAATGAGGTCATGACCTCAGTTATGTAACCTTATGGCATATATATGGAACACATACAAATAAATAATAGAAATCAACAAACACTGACTTGTTCAATATCTTTCTTCAACAACTGCTATAATAATTTTGTCTACAGAAATATTGACAACAGAACAAATTTGTCTGGAATTAATGTTGTGAGTGAATGTTTTTGGTAGTTGACAAGGTAAGTGATAAAGGAACTTACAAGCATACTTTTATCATGATATTCAATAAAAAAAAAAAAAACAGTATAGAAGCAACAGCTGATAATATTCTAATGCAGTGCTAAAACTTCAGTATTATGATGTTCCATACATATTTATTCTAACTCGTATGATTAACACAAAATAAAAAGGCCCAGTGGGTCTGTTATTTTACAGAGTTAACAAAATATACTTATTGCTGAAATGCTTGAGAAGATTTCAAGACATTTGACCTCTGTGATCTTGCATATCAGTCCAAACAATTACTTCGATCAAAATTGATAGCTCTTGATTCCAGTAAGCTACAAATCAATATCATGAATATGAGTTTTTTTTGTTGTAGAAGCCATTTTAATTTTCAATTAGATATGTGACACTTGTGAAAGTGGGTCAAGGTAGTTTTTGATATTTAATTTCATTGGATAGCCCATCATCCAAGCAAGCTACATACCAAACAGACAGAAAACCATCACACATGCTTACAGATGCTAACCTTAATAATAAATATTACTGATAGACAGAATCAGACAGGTAATTGCATTGATACAAGTCATGGCAGTAGTGGTAACATCTGAAAAACTACACTGGAAATTGGAAAGTTCAAATACACTTTCCAAGCACATGCTTCGATACCAATGAGAGGAAATGTGAGCTCCTTATCATGATACCAGTAAATGAAATATAGAATAGTCAATGGTTTCCCATGTAATATCAAACATGTTTTTCCCTATGACTTTTATATTCTCATGAGTGCAAAGCAGTAGGTTTAAATAACAATAAATCATCATCTACACTAAACATATGCTAAATGATGTTAAATGAAAAACATTGTTAACATATCTGTGTATTTAATTTTAGACATGGATTTTTTTTTGTCTGATTCATATTCCAGAGTGACAAAATGAAACTGTAGAGGAAAAAATAGTGTACGATTAATTGCACATGAAAATCTAAAAAACATAATTCACTATACTAAATCATTGCAAAAGACAAAATTGCATAGAAACTAGTTATAGGTTTCAGAAACCTATTCATTCTGAGACTGGAAAAGAAGTTTGAATCATTCATAAGTATTAACGATAACTTTATTTGATATCTAATCTGTAGTGAAAGATAACACTTTTACCTAAACTTTTTCCATATTTTATTGCTGAAAATGAAATTAAGTAAATTATAAACCTAAATACTCAGGGAAACTTGGGTACAGACATTTAACTTAAGTCTTACATTGTGCCTGCAGGAAAATGGGGATATATTAGTACTGTACTATAAAGCAAGATAAGGTCACAAGATAAAATAAGATAAGATATTTCAAAGGAAACAAACAACAAAATACACATTTTACGCAGTTTCTTCTTATTTTTAGCATCATTGTACCTGTAAACAATACTTATGAACTTACTTATAATAAACAAATTACAAAAATCCTAAGAATCCCAAGCGGTTTGTTATTCATTTTCAGAGATCAATTTTCAGAACTTGAACATCTTTTTTTTTCAAAAAAATTTTGGTGCGCAAAATATTTGAGAAGTTTTTTTGGGGATTTTCAGCCTCAAAAAGTACCTGCGCAAATTACATAGATGCGCAAATTACTTGGGGTTTTACGGTAGCCTAAAAACTAGGATCAGCTACCAAATACCAAGGCAGCACACTCCTTATTCTAAGTATCCAAAACTCATGTAATCACACACTTGTATTAAGAGTCCTTGTAAATAATTTAATTTTCAGGAAAAATAGCTATTGCAAATACTTGAACTTGTAAAAGTTACATGTAGAAAGGTGACAGATGTTGATCAGAAGTGTGTTAATCAGTATTCCAGTATATCTACATATCTATTCAACAGTAACTCTCTCTAAGATCTGTACTTCCATTCTTACCTCTTATACCACACATCAACACATCAGTTAAACACCACAGACGTGTAAATAATTCAACGTCTCAAACGTTTACCCGACTACGCCTCATACAATTGAATATCTCAAACGTTTACCCGACTACGCCTCATACAATTGTACATCTCAAATGTTTACCCGACTACGCCTCATACAATTGTACATCTCAAACGTTTACCCGACTACGCCTCATACAATTGAACATCTCAAACGTTTACCCGACTACGCCTCATACAATTGAACATCTCAAACGTTTACCCAACTACGCCTCATACAATTCAACATCTCAAATGTTTACCCGACTATGCCTCATACAATTGAACATCTCAAACGTTTACCCGACTACGCCTCATACAATTGAACATCTCAAACGTTTACCCGACTACGCCTCATACAATTGAATATCTCTAACGTTAACCCGACTACGCCTCATACAATTGATCATCTCAAACGTTTACCCGACTACGCCTCATACAATTCAACATCTCAAATGTTTACCCGACTACATCTCATACAATTGAAAATCTCAAACGTTTACCCGACTACGCCTCATACAATTGAACATCTCAAATGTTTGCCCGACTATGCCTCATACAATTGATCATCTCAAACGTTTACCCAACTACATCTCATAAATACAAACACCACAGACGTGTCCACGACCAACAACTAGACTGACGACTGACCATATATCCCATACATGTACACATTAGGCAACAACCACCACAGACATCATATTAGCCTTGAAATACAAGAAAGTAAAGATGATACCCCATACCTATAATCTTAATTGGATGTCAACTGACATTGTTGGAGATTGCACCACCACCACATTACATACATTTCAGTTCATCAGGCCGTACCAGGAAGGTAGCAGAGATTATTCTATGATGAGATTGTGGGAATGAAGATTATAAACAAAATAAATTATCAGTTTGATAGGAACTACCTGTTCTTCTTTTAACATTAGTTGTATCCTATTCTTAAGAAAATAATAATTGGATTATACTTTAATCCATCTGTCTCCTTAGATTAAAATGGTGGTTACAGAAAAAAAAGTTCCGACAAATTTCTTATTTTTTTAAAAGCTGAAGTGTGTTTCTCAGTAGAATAATTTTATGAAGACAGCTTCACCGTCACGATAGTACCTACATCACTGTCACGATTGTACCTACATCTGAAAAAGGTGATAGGCAAAGACAGCCAATACACCTACAACAACAGATATAGCCAAATATTTACTATATTTTTGTATAAAGGACTGCTGAACCTTGACTTCGTGCTGCTTGCGTGGTTTTCGTTTCTTCCCTCCTTTCATCTTCCTCTCGTATTCCTCTATCTCAGCCTGGTTCTTCAGGCGCTCTTCCTCTAACTTGGATTTTTCTTTCTCCTCTTCTCCCTTGAATTAAAAAAACAAACAGATCCAATAAAGACACATTGTATTCACCAATAGCTAAAAGGACAATGCTGTAAAAATGGATATTTTCTTGTCTAATCAGAATTGAGATTTCAACCTCATTTACCTTTTTCTTCCTTTCCTTCTCCTTTTGACATGCTTCAGTACACTCGAGCTTCACCTGGCGGTCCGGCACCATTTTACACATCAGTTCCTGCTTCCTGTTGCGACACTTGCATCTCATTGTGATTTTCTTCTCACACAGACCAATACGTGGGCACGGTCCTGCATGACAGGTGGTGCCACATGCATGGCCACATGGCATCTAGGGGAGATAATTGGTACCATACATAGTTATATCAGCAATTTAGTGATGGAAGCAACCAAAGTGTGTTAAGATGGTCTGATTTCAATCCATTTAAAATAAGAATTAGGTTTTCTTTCTGTTAATTATTCATCTTCATATCGTTAAAAACAAATTTTCTCCATGACTAATGATGTATTTTTTGGTCATAGAATCTTTAAGTGTTATTATTATCATTATCAAAAACTGCTGCATTTAAAGTGAAAAATACAAATTTAGTGCCTTAAATGCAAACATCTTGGTAAAATAAATGTATTTCCTAGAACTTACATTTTTCGGGCACTCCCCCTTACAGGACTTCATGCTGTCCTTTGTGGCCTGGTCTGCATTCAACCACCTATCACAGTTAATGTGTTGTACGGTCAGCTCACAGTGGCATCGTGTGCGGTTCATTTGCTGGCATGGAGGGCAGTCTCCAGAATGACACTTAAGGAGCGAGCAGGCATGGGTACAACCCTGCGGGCGGGGCTTCAGACAGTGAGACTCGCATACCTCACACGTTTCACCTGCCTACAGATGAAATAAAAACACTCAAGCATTTTTGGACAAAGAGACTCAATCACCTGGTACACAACTACTGTAAAAGTGGACATTTTCAACGGTGAAAATGTGTCTGTTGTGACTTTAAACTGATTTTGATGTGGAAATTTTTGCAATGGTTCTGTATGTTCTATAAATCTTTAATCTATATAGATAACTGTGAATGTTTTGCTCTAATTTACTCAAAGGCAAAAATGTTATCATTTCAATATGCCATCTTACCTGTACATTATCTGGTGCCCCCCGTACCAGGTGACAGGAAAGGGAACAGGTATGGTTTCCACAAGACATCTGTCTGCCACAGTTTCTCATACAAGAATCTGGCTTTGCCTTGAAACAGGGAATGTTGCAAGTCTGAAAACAGATTAATGAGGAGATACATACAAATATTGGAACAACATATTAAATCAGTGGTTGCATTTGTGTATCCCTGTTGTAACCATTCAGGTGGAGTAGAAATATTCTGCAATAAACGAATGCAGTTGGACCAAATTTTAGACAGAGCTTTAAAAATGCACAGTTTTGGAGTTTTGTGACAAATAAAGAACAATAGTCAAGAATAATATCCTTCTTTCATGATTCCACTAAATTATATAACATATCCTAAATATCCATGGTGAAGCGACCTTGATTTATTAAGAATAATGCAAACTAACAATAGTCAGCATTTTAGTTTCTGTCAGGCATGTCTGGATCCCTTGACATGCACATGCCAAATATTTCTGAGGTCAGCCTCAGTTCAGATCTGAGTCTGTTGTTTTCTTTCCAAGGTTCAGCTGGTTGAAACTACTGAATCCCATACACGAAAGGAGCCAGTGTGGTCTACTAATGCTACTATGTGGTCATATATAGATGTACATAAACTGAGAACAATTCAATAGTGTATATTGTCAATAGTACATATAGAACCTACCTCATGTCCACCGAGACATGTAACAGGTATCGGTACCAGACACGGAGGACACACCTTGTCCACGATCTCATCCCTCACGGTGGGGCGCCCCTCCCAGGGGCCAGCTCTCTGTACCTATAATATGTCCAAACAGGTGTGGAAAACCAGGTATACCAAACACATCAGCGTTATCTATATTTTTGCATAAACACTTGGATTGAAAATGTATTTTAGGAGTACATTGTATAAGATTGAAAAAGATAAATGCTGCTGCTGGTTTGAACATGTTTTTTTCTTTATTATATAACTAAAATAGTAAAAAGAAATAAAATGTATTTCACCTTGAACATAACATTCATGTACTTACATTGTCTTTGACCTTGACTCTGACGGCTGTGTGACAGCCAACAGGACAAATGTGGCCACACTGATGAACCTTGGCACACATCAAACGGCAGGGCGGACAGTCACCGAAGTGGCAGCGGTGGGGGATCTGCTCAGGGTGGTGGCATTTAGGAGGCAGTCTGCCAAAGAAATACAATGTAACAAATATTAGATTACAGCATTATTCATCAGGTATTTAGTACATGGGATATCTCCTAATAGTATTTCATCTGTAAAGTGTTCCTTCTGATCTGACACTTGTTCATCTGTCATTCTGTATATAGTTCACAATTTTGATTTTTTAAGAGATATATAGTAAACTACGAAATTTTTGCCCTTCAACATTAAAATCCTCACTCTGGAGGACTCAAAAAGCAAAACATTGTGATGCAACAAAAGCTTACCAGTATACAGTTACCTGAATTTTACCTGGAGAATTATAAATAGGTTCTTCAGTTCCTGAAGTACTTTATTTGGTCAGTATTTGTAAATTTGTACAATTGTGGCACTGAATTTGGTCAGTACTATTATATCTGTGGAACGGAATATGATCCAAAAAGATGATAATCCAATGTAGTGTCCGTTAAAGTGTATTTATATATGGGATAATTTCTGTTACCTGCATGCTTGTTTACACCTGAGTTACTGCTATCTGACTATTTGTTTACACCTGTGTTACTATTACCTGCATGCTTGTTTACACCTAGGTGGCCTGGTGAACTTCTCTCTACCACAGGGAACAGTGATCCTGGTGGTCTTACAGAAACAGGTGATCTCTACTGTGAGAGGACAAGGGTAGCAGGCACCTATAACGAGTTAAAGAAACAGGTAACCACAACAGTGATGAGACAGGAGAAGGATAGCACACACCTGTAACTAGAACACTGACAGGTCAGTAAGGGCCCTGTCTTGTGGCAATTATATCCCCCATAATCATCAAGAAGCAATCTGCCCATATAGCTGAGCTTGACGTTTGACATTTGGACTTCAAAAAGAATCGCAAGGAAGCAAAATATACATTTTACATGTACTATGATGTGATGTGTTTCCTTCCACCTCCATATTTGCTGGGCTAACAGAAATGTAATTACCGGTGCAATACTCATTTGTTGCTTTGATTTGTTTTATTTCACCTTATATACCTTCTCCATCAAGAGCCAGGGTCATAGTCAGAGATCCACTATGTCTTTGACCTCTGGACCTATATGACCTTGACCATTAACCCAGTGACCCTGATCTTTGGTCAGTTGACTTATTCTTTAATTCCGAACAACTTTGCTTCTTAATATCATAACAAAATGTTCATCAGTGAAAAATACAAAACTTAACCATGACCCTTTGGACCCAGTAACCTGGAACTAAGGTCAGTTGACTCTGTGTTAAGTTCTGAACAACATTGCTTCATAATGTCATAACAAAATGTTCATCAGGGAAAAGGTACAAAATTTAAACCTTGACCTTTGGTCAATTGACTCCTTGTTTAATTCTGAGCAACATTGCTTCAAATTGTCATTGTGAAATGTTCACCAGTGAAAAGATACAAAATTTAACCTTGACCTTTGACCCAATGACCTTGTCCTTTGGTCAGTTGACTCATTGTTTATTTCTGATCAACTTTGCTTCATAGTATCATAACAAAATGTTCATCAGTGAAAAGATGTAAAATTTGACCTTCACCTTTGAACCTAATTACCTTGACCTTTGACCTTGACTTTTTACCTCAATGTGTATTTTTATGAACTGAACATCTTGACCAAGTTTTATGTACATCGGTCAATAAATACCAAAGTTATCAGCCAGGAACAAAATTTGTGGACAGACAGACAGAGTGATTACTATAGGGCACCCGTATCTCCGATACGGGGCCCTAACGAGCTATAGAAACAGGTAATCACAACAGTGATGAGACAGGATAAGGATAGCACACACCTGTAACGAGCTATAGAATCACACACACCTTACACAACACAGGACTGCACATTTACTAACTTATTTATATATTTTGCTATATTTTTTTTAAAAGAAATAGGTATTGCTGCTATAAAACAACTTTCAAGTTTTCATGTTTTATATTATTTACCTTTGTGACAGCGACTAGAACATTTGTGGTTTTTACAGCCAAGAAGTTTACCACAGGTCTGTTCACAGAAAGGACAGTTCCCATCACAGCACTGAAACATAGGACATTACATTTAGTAAATTCTTTATAGAAGGTCTTCAAGCTGTACACTTTTTTTCACAAATAATAATATAATGAATTAGAACATTCACTTAAATTCTACATTTGTGACACACAGATGCATACCTTTTTCTCTCATTTCCATGTGTGTAAGATAGAGCTGTCCAGGGTTAGAAAGGTGTGTAGGAAATTTCTATCTTACACCCCATTTCACGTGATTGACGTCACAATGGCTCAACAATGACGTGACGTCACAAATTTGGAACTCTCCGATGCCGCAATGCAGAAAAGGCGACGTGATGAAATTAAAAACCTTTTACAATATATTTACCGTACACGTTAGAAAGATGTGATTAGTTTTCCTGTGCAAACTTTTTCAAAATTATGGCCAGTCCAAATGCATTTTCATGGTTTCTGAGCTTATTCTAGTGTTTGCAATGAGAGAAAAATACTCTTTCATGCCCAAGGGTGTAGAATAGGGAAATTCCACCCTCTGGATTTCCAAATTTGGCATAAGCCTCAAGTTTTATCAAACTTGAAAACCCTTGGGTGGAATTTCCCTATCCTAAACCCCTGAGCATGAAAGAGTCTTATAATCTTACTCTGATGTCTACCACAGTTCCTTGTGGAACTACACTGTGTCACAAACATACATACCTTACACTGATGTCTACCCCAGTCCCTTGTAGTACTACACTGTGTCACAAAGATACATACCTTACACTGATGTCTACGACAGTCCCTTGTAGTACTACACTGTGACATACAGATACATACCTTCCTCTTACACTGATGTATACCACAGTCCCTTGTGGAACTACAGGGTGTCACAAAGATACATACCTTACACTGATGTCTATGACAGTCCCTTGTAGCACTACACTGTGACATACAGGACATACAGATACATACCTTCCTCTTACACTGATGTATATCACAGTCCCTTGTGGAACTACATTGTGTCACAAACATACATACCTTACACTGATGTCTACCACATTCCCTTGTGGAACTACATTGTGTCACAAAGATACATACCTTACACTGATGTCTACCACAGTCCCTTGTGGAACTACACTGTGTCACAAACATACATACCTTACACTGATGTCTACCACAGTCCCTTGTGGAACTACACTGAGTCACAAAGATACATACCTTACACTGATGTTTACCACAGTCCCTTGTGGTACTACACTGTGTCATACAGATACATACCTTCCTCTTACACTGATGTATACCACAGTCCCTTGTGGAACTACACTGTGTCACAAAGATACATACCTTACACTGATGT